TGCTCTCTCAAATAAATAAAATCTTTAAAAAATAATAGTAAAAAAAGTTGTTTAGAATGTTATCTTTTTCAGTGAAACTAGACTGGATAATACAGAAGTTTGTGTTGTGCAGTCTTTGCTCAAGGAATGCCTATGATATGGATTTGGCTTCTTTTTTTTTAATTTTTTTTTTAGATTTTATTTATTTATTTGACAGAGAGAGAGCACAAGCAGGGGGCGCGGCAGACAGGCAGAGGGAGAGGGAGAAGCAGGCTCCCCGCTGAGTAAGGAGCCCAATGCAAGGCTCCATCCTAGGACCCTGAGATCATGACCTGAGCCAAAGGCAGCCACTTAACCGACTGAGCCACCCAGGTGTTCCTGATTTGGCTTCTTTTTAAATTCAGTTTCTGGCTAGCTTCGTCTTTTATATATATATAACTTAAACGTATAAGAAAATTTAAGTTGATACCCTATATATTTTTCTTTCCTTGTACATATCTTCTCCCCTTTGTGATTTTGGTCTGGGAAGACAAATAATTAGAATATTAGAGACCAGTTAGAATCAAGGTAGGCACTTTACCCATTGAAACTGTGGGCACTTGGCTGCAGCTAACTTACCTGGGAGATTGCCTAGATATTTTAAATTTTCAAGGGAACAACGCCATCTGTTGGGCATCTTCAAAACAAATCCGTCAAGTTGGATCCAGCTTAGACTATTTATTTAGTTTTAGGTTGGTTGTTTTGTTTTTGGCTTAGGGGTTTGGTAAAAAAAAAAAAATGCTGAAATACTAAGGGCACTGATAGAACATTTGCATTAAAGGCTTTGTTTGAACATTGAGCAGTAATGCTTCTACAATTCCAAGACAAAGAAATTGACCTTTAGTCAACTAATATTGGGGAGGCATAATAGCAGGCAGTATCTCTGTCTGCATTGTAAAGGTGTAGGCTTTATGTTTATAAGAAGCATATAAGTTAGGCAAGTGTTTTCAAATTAAAGGTGACTCCAAAATCATGGTGAAGTACAAGGAAACAATTTAGGGGGGAAAGAACTATCACCCACTTTCTGAATTCAGAGCAATCTAGAATTGACCCTGCAGTATCACCGTTTTGAAAGAACAGCTAACAAGCCTAAGTTTGTAAACTGGGACTAGACTGTGAGGTTCTTTTTTATTTAATTTTATTTATTTATTTACTTACTTTACTTTATTGTGAAGATTTTCTTTTTTTTTTTTTTTTAAGATTTTATTTATTTGTCAGCACACACACACACAAGCATGTTAGCACAAGCAGGGGGAGTGGCAGGCAGAGGGAGAAGCAGGTTCCCCACTGAGCAAGGAGCCCAATGTGGGACATTGTAGGACTTGATCCCAGGTTCCTGGTTCCTGGGATTATGACCTAAGCCAAAGGCAGATGCTTAACCGACTGAGCCACCCAAATGTCCCTAAGCATTTTCTTTTTAAGTCATCTCTACACCCAACGGGGGGCTCAAACTCAAAACCCTGAGATCAAGAGTCACACGTTCCACTGACTGGGCCAGCCAGGAGCCCCCAAAATATACATTTTAATTGAAGACCCTGCACTTGCATGATTTGCCTCACCCTAATCACAGTCCTAGATATTACAAATTAAATTTTATACTCCTATTTATTGAATAATTTGCTGTGGGCTTTTTCATAATTTTTTTTCAAGAATAAAAGTTACAATTTTGGATCCTTCAAAATGTGGGAGGGGGACGTTAGGGGAAATAGTAGAGGGAGCACAAGGGGTTGGGTTACTGATAGATTAAAGAATCTGATTCCATATTTTGTATAACATTATTTCTTTCATTCTGAGGTATCTTATTTTGTCTTTTTTTCTTGTAGCATGGCGGACACCGACCTCTTTATGGAATGTGAGGAGGAGGAGCTGGAGCCATGGCAGAAAATCAGTGATGTCATTGAGGATTCTGTCGTTGAAGATTATAATTCAGTGGATAAAACTCCTACAGGTAACAAAACCTCTTGATTTTAGATTATTTAAATTGATTCAATCGGGTGGCATTTTTGTTAAGAAAGTGTGAGGCAGAGGAGGACTTTTAAGAATCCAGGGATGCCTCATTGTGGCACTGGTGCTTTTTTTCCCATGCTGTAGTGTGTAAAAATGCCTCAGTTTCTTCATACATAAAGCTAGAAACGTTGAGAGTTGAATTAACTATCAAATATTTAGCAATCCTCTTACCAATAACGAATGAACAAGAATGCAAAGTAGTGGTGTGTGTCAGTGTTTATTTATATACCCAGTCAAAAACAGGATCCCATAGTCATTTTTTCCTTCTTTGTTTTACTTGACCTTTGTTTCGTATGTGAGCTGAGCAGAATTTGCTTTGTGTCTGCCTTCATGGAAAGTTTACAAACTTAGGATTGTTAGCTGCTCTTTCAAAAAGGTGATGCTGCAGGGTCAAATTCTAGATTGCCCTGAATTCAGAAAGTGGGTGATAGTTCTTTTGCCCCCTAAATTGTATCCGTTGCTCTCTCTATTTTTATCTTCCCTGCCTTGAGACCTGAAGATGGCATTGGTTTAGCCTGAAACAGGACACAGTTCAGGATCTTGTGGAGGTCTTCCTATGTCTGCATGGTTATGAATACCAATAGTGGTGGTAATAAACCTTTGAGTCTTAGAGGTTTGCTTGTGCTATATAAGCAAAACCTTAAAATACTGGTTCAGTGAGCTTGTGATCTAAATTAATTTAACCAGGCAATGTCAGATGAAGAAGGCATTGTGTCTAATTGGTGGAGTGAGGGACAAGTAGGAAGAGAAATCAGATGCACAGTTGTATTTGCAAAGAAAGCAGGAAAGTTTTTGGTTATAGAGAGCCACAACAAGATGAAAAGGGATTAGAACAGTATCCTTTAGTGTCATCTGTCCCTGTCTCCAAGTGACTGTGCCTCCCCTTCCCCACAGTTTCTGTGAGCCAGCAGCCAGTCTCGGCTCCAGTGCCCATCGCTGCCCATGCTTCTGTTGCTGGGCACCTCTCTACATCCACCACCGTTAGTAGCAGCGGGGCACAGAACAGCGACAGTACAAAGAAGACTCTTGTCACACTAATTGCCAACAACAATGGTAAGTGGGATTATCGGGAAATTCTTCCTGGGCCAGAGGGTGAGAGAATTAAAGAGGTTTTAGGAACAGACGCACCCATTTAGTTTTAGGTACTGATGTGGCTCAACTAGTTGGAGTGAATTTAGTAATGATTCAGTGATGTGGAAGTGATTCAGGAGTGGTGCTGTTCCTTCTGAGTTAGTGCTGAATTGATGCTGGTGTTTCAAGTCCGAGGGCACCTGATTCTTGCTGCTGATAATTTCTAGGAGAGAAAATGTAAACCCAAAAGTCCTAACAATTAAAGAGATCTGGGTTTTGTTTTGTTTGATTTTTTTTTTTTTTTTTTAAGTAGAAGAGCCCTACTAGTTTGTTAAGAATTCTCCCAGGGCAGCTTTGTTTTGGATTTTTTCTGGCAGATCCATTTGGTTATTGGTTCCTGGGTATGAAAAATAGGATAGGGTTGTTGTCTACTTGAAGGAAATGGTGAAAGAATAGTGTCTTTAGTGTATTATTGACCAGAGAAGCTATATAGTATTGGTTTCTATGTTATTTCTGATGACTGTTTTTACACTCTAAAGATGTGTTATTGGCAAGTTATGTCCTAAGATTCATAAGTAGAATAAGCACTTTGTAGAATCATTGTGTTGCTGCAAAGGACTTTTAATTATTTTTCTTAAAATAAAATAGCTTTATTAATATAAGAATAATGTGTATTGTAGAAAAAGTAAACTGAAAAAAATAAAAGGAAGGGAAAAAATTTTTAACTGTAATCTCACTACCTGGAGATAACTATTTGTAACTTTTATTTTGTCACATACTTTCAATGCTGTATGTAATGATTCACTTTTTATAAAAATGGATCATACAGACTCTACCCACTGTGCCTCCTTTTCCCCTTAATATGTAATGCATATGTTCTCATTTTAACAAATGTATGTCTGTAACATTGTTGATGAATAACTGTACAGTTGACCCTTGAACAACATGGGGCTCAGCGGTGCCAGCTGGCTGCACAGTTGAAAATCTGCGTATAACTCCAAAAACTTACCTATAGATAGCCTTCTGTTGATAACAGTTGATTAACACATATTTTGGATGTAGTATATATACTATATTCTTACAATAAAGTAAGCTAGAGAAAAGAAAACATTATTCAAAAAATCATGAAAAAGAGAAATAACACCGTACTGTACTATATTTATTGAAAAAAAAAATCCATGTACAAGTGGACCTGTGCAGTTCAAACCTGAGTTGTTCAAGGGTCAACTGTATTTCCTGTTATTTGGTTAGCTGTTATTAACAATAGTAGTAAAGGCCTGTACTGCTACTTTAAAGAGCTGTTGTGAACATCTCTGTATCTTTTCTCACATCCTTAGTTCTGAGAATGTATTTACTTATTTTTTTATTTTCTTAAAGATTTTATTTATTGGACAGAGAGAGACACAGCGAGAGAGGGAATATAAGCAGGGGGAGTGGGAGAGGGAGAAGCAGGCTCCCCGCTAAGCAGGGAGCCTGATGTCAGGCTCTATCCCAGGACCCTGGGATCACGACCTGAGCCTGAAGGCAGACGCTTAACGACTGAGCCACCCAGGTGCCCCTGAGAATGTATTTATAAATTTCAAATTGTTGGATCAAAGGTCATCACAGTTTTTAGGATTGGATATTTTTGCTGGATTGGCCATCTGAAAATGTTGTATCAGTTTATATTTCCATAGAAGTGCATATAGTGGTCTTACTTTTGTTTATAACCATTTACTTCTCTATTGTTAGATATTTATTATAATCCCTATTTTTTTGTAATTACAAACAATGCTTGGTGAACGTTCTCAGGCATTATATCTGTGCCCACTGTGTAAGCATATTTTCAGTAGAAAGTGAGATTGTTTGGGTCAGGCATTTAAAACTGGATAGTGTCAAATTGTCCTAATAGATTGCTCTGAATAAGTGTCCCCAGTAGCTCTTTCCCCATACTGTTGCCAACTTTAGGTACTATTGAACTTAAATCTCATTTCTGTAGGCGTTTTTTCAGCTTTTGTTACTGATTTTTATCACATGAAACATCCTTAGAATTTTTTTAAACTTATAAATAGGGACCCTTATGTATATAGAAAGATGAGGAACCACTATCCATAGGATTCTCTCATTTTACAGACATGGAAACCAAGTACCAGAGAGTCTAAATAATGTGTTTAAGGTCAAATAGTTGGTAAGTGACTAAACTGGATTTGAATTGTCTAGATTTCAAAGTTTGTATCCTTTCTACTGTGTTATACTGCTTTCCTGTATTTCTTTCTTTTTTTTTTTTTTATTTGAGAGAGAGAGCACGAGCAGGGGGGAAGGGCAAAGGGAGAAGGAGAGGGACAAGCAGATTCCCTGGTGAGCAGGGAGCCTGATGTGGGACTTGATCCAAGGACCCTGAGATCATGACCTGAGCTGAAGTCAGATGCTTAACCAGCTGAGCCACCCAGGCGCCCCTGTGTATTTTTTTTTTTTAAATAATCCGTCAAAATGCTATTAGCAACCATGTGGCTAAATTTTTCTTTGATCCTAGGGTGTTCCAAGGCTTCTGAGGAGCATGTCATGACACACTGACATGACCTAGTCTTCTTGACTCCTTGGATGGACCCTTGATTTCTGAGCCCACCTAGGGCTGTGTACAAAGTTTTAAAATTTATATATATATATAATTTGATTTTATTTCAGGTACTTGTAGTACCTGTAATTTGAAATTCAAATTAAAATATTAACCCATGCTAGTGGGAAAAAAAATTGGGTATAGACAGGTAACCAGAGTTACATGTGTCATGTGTATTCTTCCAAAAATTTTCATGCATAGATAAGCATGCATTAATAGGTACAATTTGCCTAGCCACCTCCTTTTTGCATAATACAGACAACTCTATAACTTTTTTTTTTTTGACAGAGCACAAGCAGGGGGAGCGGCAGGCAGAGGGAGAAGCAGGCTCCCTGCTGAGCATGGAGCCCAATGTGGGACTTGATCCCAGGACCCTGGGATCATGACCTGAGCCAAAGGCAGACGCTTAACTAACTGAGCCACCCAGGCGTCCTCTATAACTTTTTTTATCTTATATTCTTTTTTTTTTTTAGATTTTATTTATTATTTATTTGAGAGAGAGACAGAGATAGTGAGAGAGAGCACGAGCAGGGAGGAGAGGGAGAAGCAGGCTCCCTGCCAAGCAGGGAGCCCAACGTGAGACTCGATCCCAGGACCCCGGGATCATGACCTGAGGCGAAGGCAGACACTTAACCAACTGAGCCACCTAGGCGCCCCTTTATCCTATGTTCTTGAAATGTTAATCTAGGTTTAGGGGTGGGACTTCAGAATAGAGGGAATTAAAAATGTTCCATCTTCGGGGTGCATGGGTGGTGCAGTCAGTTAAGTGTCTGACTCTTGGTTTCAGCTCAGGTTGTGATCTCGGGGTTGTGGGATTGAGCCCCATGTTGAGCTCCACACTCAGCTCAGAGTCTGCTGGAGACTCTCTGCCCCTCCCCCTGCCGTCATGCTTTCTCTGTCTCTCTTTCTCGCAGATAAATAAATCTTTAAAAAAAAAGTTCCATCTTCCAGCCCAGTTTTCCTATAAGTCTTCAGCTTAGTTGTACTGGTGTATTGTCTACTTATTACATTAATAACATAGCAAGAAAGAATAACTTTTAAGCAATTCAGTATTGTTTCACTTAGTGTATTTTGTACTTGAGAAAGTGAAAAAGTTGTCTTTTCCTGCTCCCTCCTTTTAAACCAGTTTTAAAGCTTGTCTGGCTCCTGGTTACAAATAGCCACCTCCTCCAATAATTATATTGTAAAAAACTGTTTTTTGGGGGGTATTGGTTTGGCTTTTATAATTTACGTGTTTCTCTTGTTTCCCTTGCTGTCTCTACATAGAAAGCATTTCCTTGACTCTTGATTTTTAAGGAACATTTTTTTATATGTGAGAGGGAGGCCATGGGTTGAGACAGAGGAGGAGCACATTGCTAGTTTTTATAATGGTCTAGTCCTACACTGGGCGGTGGATTCAAGAGTGTTTGTTTTATCATTATACTTTATAACTTTAAAGGTATGTAATATTTTATAAGAGCCAACTGTTAAAATATAATTAAGGTGAATATTATTTTGCAGGAATGAATGGGGGGCACCTGGGTGGCTCACTCGGTTAAGCTTCTGCCTTCGGCTCAGGTCATGATCTTGCGGTCCTGTGATCGGGCCCTGTGTTGACCTCCCTGCTCAGCGGGGAGTCTGCTTCTCCCTTTCCCTCTGCCTCTCCCCCTGGCTTGTGCTCTTTCTCTCTCTCTTTCTTGCTCTCACTCTCGCTCTGTCTCAAATAAGTAAAATCTTAAAAAAATTAAAAAATAAAAAGATTCCTGGGTGCCTGGGTGGCTCAGTTGGTTAAGCAACTGCCTTCAGCTCAGGTCATGATCCTGGAGTCCCGGGATCGAGTCCCACATCGGGCTCCCTGCTCAGTGGGAAGTCTGCTTCTCCCTCTGACTCTCCCCCCTCTCATGTGCTCTCTCTCTCTCTCATTCTCGCTCTCTCAAATAAATAAGATCTTAAAAAAAAAAAAGAAAAAGATTCTTTCTCTCTCCCTCTTCCCCTCTCCCTGGTCACACACACTCAAATTTTTTTTCCTCTCTGTCGCAAATAAATCTTAAAAAAAAAATAAAAGAATGAATAGGGGAGGAGAAAGAAAAGGGTGGGGATATGGACACAATTTTGTTCTATTTTCCAAAATACCTGTTCCATGGATAATGATAATTGGTTTAAAAAAAATGTAATCCGGGTGCCTGGGTGGCTCAGTTGTTAAGCGTCTGCCTTCGGCTCAGGTCATGATCCTGGGGTCCTGGGATTGAGCCCCATGTCGGGCTCCGTGCTCCGCGGGAGGCCTGCTTCTCCGTCTCCTACACCCCCTGCTTATGTTCCCTCTCTCACTGTGTGTCTCTCTGTGTCAAATGAATAAAATCTTAAAAAAAAAAAGTAATCCTTTCCTATTTGATAGGGATAGAATAGT